GAATATGGTAAATTTACCTCAATTAAATGCTAAAAATGCATAATAAAGGGAGACTTTTTAAAGGCCCTACAGTCTGATGCAATGCTTCGGTGGGTGTTATGTGTCAAATTAACATCCACATAAACCCTGAAGTGTCTGAGCTGAACGCTGCATCCTGCTGAGATCATAAATGTTCGCTTCACCTGATCAGTGCAAGTAAACTGAAAAAAAGGTCAGATCTCAAAAATAGTACTCTGTGGTTACACATGCTGTGATTTTCATCCAGCTTTTTTGTCATATCACCTAAATTCTGTCACTATTTCCTCACAAACAGTGCTGATAGTTTTCTCAGCTTTTCCCAGATCTCCCAGCAGCAACATCTTCTTCCAGAAATGTCGTCCAACTTACTCTGGATAATCAACAACAACAAAAAAAATCACTTTATGCAGTTTTCATCTGAATTAGTTTCTGTGGAGGAAACGGTGCCAAGCTTACGATACTGTCACTAATCAGATAAAAGGGAGAACGAGTAGTTCAACCTTGACGAAACACGCTCAGATGTTGAAGCAGTTCGTTTTATGAAACTCATATCCCCCCGAGAGCCGTCGCTTGTCAGTTTGTGCTGAAGCAGCTGCATTCGGTGACAGACACCTCTGCCAGCACAAGAGACTGCTGACGAGCTGGCGACTGAACGCTTTGGTGGGGCTGCGGATGACAACAGCGATCACACAAAAAGCTCCATAAAAGCTGTGCTCACTGAGATCTAAAATGTGCAAGAAGACACCAGCAATTAAGCTGCAGTGATACAGGACGTTAAAGAAAGTGCAGACATGAACAAAACACGTCTTCAGTTTGTGTGCATTACGACAGATTAATCGTCCTTTGGGCTGCTTTTTGCTCCCTTGACACTTCATCGAGACATTAACCAGGTTAATTGGTGGCTTTATTAGATAATAGGGCAGAAATCTTAGCTAAAAATTCTTGACAGTGACCATTTCTTTTAACCACATGTAGCTAATTTGACATAAATATAGTAGTTTTATAGCTCCATAATATTCTGACTGTGCAGCACCAGATGGAAGCAGCAAAATCTCGAAGAAAACAAAATTCTTGGTAGTAAAAAAAAAAAGTTTATTTACAATACATCGTAAAGTGACATAGAGAGTGTATTTATTATCATGAATGGTCATAAAAAGTTATAGTTTCTGCTCAACTGCCATCAGCACACAGTAGTTCATAAACAGCCAACAAGCAGCCACAACGCACAGCGTGCTCAACTACAGATAGATAAAACTCTGAAAGGATGATAAAAACGGTTGAAACCCTGAAGCGAGGAGTCAGCAGCACGTGAGTATAAAAACTGGCGTGTTTTGCAGTTCAGAAGAGAGGCGCCGACTGTCTGGGGTCGTCCGGTAACACGCTGATGGAGTCCTCGGCCTTTCCACACAGCATGCACAGCATCGTGTACTCCTGGATGGCACAAAACACACCTATGAGCCTGCACCAACCACTGAACAAACGGATGGTATTTACACAACACGACAGATATCATTACTCACCTGATACTCATCGACAACAGAGAATGTATATTCGTGCCGGGCGATGACGTGGTCGCAGTTTTTACAAACGTCTGGAAAGACAAACGGACATTAGTGGATGTGTTTCCCACATCTACCACCAGCAAGACAAAATAAAACCTAGAGCATGACCACAAGTACTGAGTGGACATTTTATATATGATCGCTGAACATCTCAATTCGTTATTTTCATTATCAAGTAATCTGCTGATTGTTTTCTCCAGTAATCGATTCACTTTTTGGGCTGTAAAATCTAAAACAAACGGTAAAAAATGTTGTTTCCCAAGATGACAAATGTTTAGTTTTGTCCACAACCTACAGACATTCAGTTTGCTGTCATAGAGGAGCAAAGAAACCAGGAAATATTCAAATGCATTAAGCTGGAATTAAAGTATTTCAAAACAGTTGGGAATGAATTTAACAATTAATCGATCATTCGTCTGTGCTGTGCAGATAAAAACCGTCTTCTGGAACAGCCAAAAGCTCGTCCTCTATTGACATTTTTAAAGAAAATCTCACGACGTACATGCTGTCAGTGTCTTGTGGTTGCTCATAATTGTCTTAATATAACAGCATTTAATATTTAGATTATTTTAGAGTTTGTTTTGTTCTTCAGTGTTTTGTATGTGTTGAGTTTTATCCTATTTTCCATCTTGCTATTCGTACATATTTTTGCCGTTGCTTGTCTGACAACATGTACAGCATCTGGGTCAGCGCAGGTTGTTTTAAAATGTGCTATCGACACTGAACAAAAACATTAAAACAGCATGCAAATAGTTTTCTTTTCTGACTTAAACAAAAGATTTGAAATCTAATGTCTATGGTTACGTGCTACAAACAGTTCAGTTTAGTCAAATGTGCACAAAATCGTTTTGAACTGTTCAACTAGTGACAAATTCTTGGAGTGGCTCGGGTGTGTCGTTAATCCAAACCCCAGTCAAGTGTGACTTTAAAGGACTATGACCAGATACTCATATTACTACTGAATGCAGAAGTCCACCTTATAATGCAGCTTTATTAAAATAACACAAAGAGAAAAACAAGTGTGGGCTGTTGGCATAGTGGATGTCCGCCCACAGCCGGGCACTTGAATGTCCACAACTCCTCACAAATCCTTTTAGACATCATGATATGACAATCTGTCTCATGATGCTGTGGATGTCTGACAATATGATCCTGTCCCCCAAATGTCCACTAACTCCATTAAGCCCTTCAGGAGTGGGACAACATTGCACAAACACCGACAACCTCATTAGCTCTGTGTTGCAGACGTGTGACCTCTGTGACCCCACTCTCCATCTGAACACTATCACCTCCAATATAGAGTCTACCTGGTTGTTTTAAAGATCCATTCTGTTTTACAGATGCTATGCATGGGAGCTACAAATATGTGAAGAAGAGTGGACAGAAGTGTCTCAAGCACCGAATGCTTTAAGACTTTTGTTCAAATAAACTTGATTTGACTGTGATCTGACTTGTGGACTGAGCTTTCCACACACATTTATTGGCCCGATTATCTGGTGTCAACGCTGGTTTTCTGCTGCATCTGAAGCACAAGAAAATGCAGACTAACGGTCATATGTGACAATCTCCTCTCCATCATCATCCTCAGTGGATTTATTGCTGATCAGCACGAAGTCCCTCTGATGGCAGCTGGCGCAGCCCACGTAGTTCATCAGGTAGGAGCCGTTCTCCAGACAAGTGTTACCCTGAACAAAAAAATAGAAAAAAATATCTTAAATGTTTAAATCTTTGTTGCATGCGTGTACATTTAATTTTATCTTTAAGCGCTATGTCAGGGCTTTATAATGGAGGTGGCTCGTTAACTCAGCTAACTGTACACCGAGGCTAGCTGTAACGTTAGCATTTAACACTTAAATCGTACATTAAGTGTAAAAAGAAGTAGCGGGGTCTCTTATTAGCGTCAGCTTACCCGGTCTGGGTACTCTTTTTGCACACAACCGTTGCACATTTTAACTTAAAATTATTTACAATCCTTTAAAAAAAAAAAAGTCACTTGTACAGTAACAGACTGAACAGCTAGCAGATAGCTAATTATTTAGTAGCAGAAACACCTTTTCCGCATTGTACGGCAGCCCGTGCAGCTCATTAGAGTTGTAAAGCATCGTCATGGGCGGCCATCTTTGTTTTAACCTCAACCCGCCCTATCCGCGTGTTTTATAAATCTACGGAAACTGCGCAGCCGACCCTCCAGTTTGTTCTTTAGCGCCCGATTGGCCGCCGTAGACCCGACGTAATTTACGTTGACAAACATGGCGGTGTAGCAGCCGTTGAGGCTCATTGCCATGCGACGTTTGTGAGGTAATTATGTGCTGTTTATATATTTTAGCTTATATTTCACTTGCCTCGATTAACTCCACTCGTGCGAGTCGTAATGCAGGAAAAGTGGGTAACTGTTGAGTGAAACCTGCCAGTCATTGTGCGAGCGTTGCCCAGTGATGAGTTGGAAAGCACGTTGTGTTGCTTTAATAAGTTGCTGCTCTGTGACTGCAGTGATTCATTGGTTTTATCTCGTCTCTCTCCATTCACTTGTTGGGACAGAGTCAATCATGTCATTGTCTCTGGTCTGTCATGACATGATGCTGACACACTGAGTAGTGATTGTGTTGTTCATCTTCTCTGTTCCTTCATCAGAGCTTTAGCACAAAGCAAGAGGAGTGTTCTTTTAGGTTTTTGAGGATATTTCATCTGTCAGTGGTTTGGAGTCCCAACTATTTATCTTCACCCCCATAATGAATCCGGTCGTCTCTGCTCTGACTGGTACAAACGATTCCATCTCAGATCATCAGAGGGCTTCCGCTCCAACTCTGATTTATTTTTAACTTTTTCTTTTATTGTAAACTATGGATATTTAAAATTGTACCTGTGAAATGTTAGTGATATATCCATCCATTATCTATACACCGCTTAATCCTCACTAGGGTC